AGATGCCATCCTATGATATTTTAAAACCCCATCAAACATATTTTTCTTCTTTATGTGTTACTTTGAGACAGCGAATCTGTTTGTTATCCTAAAGTACACATATATTTTGGTCATTGAAAATTTCTGGTTCTTTGTAGCTTTCACAGATGTAACTATCTTAATATTGTCTTATTTTTAATAATAATTATGGATATGAATTAATGTTAACCGGTAGGAAGGGACATTAATGAATTTTCTCTGCCCAATTTATTGTCATAGCTTATGCAGGGCCATTATTCAAAACCCAGAGTACCTATATATAGTCTAGATTCTTTTTTTATTATTATTATTTCAGAATATTATGGGGGTAAAATGTTTTGGTTACATGATTGTTTTTGTGCAGTTTGAGTCAAAGTTATTTGCGTGCCCATCACCAAGATAGTGTGCATTATACCCTTTAGGTGTGAATTTACTCATCCCCTCCTTCCCCTCCCACCTGTTTGGTTTCTGTTGAGTTTTACTACTATATGTATACATGGGTGTTGATGGATTAGTTCCAATTTACTAGTTAGTACATGTGGTATTTGTTTTTCCGTTCTTGTGATACTTTGCTTAGAAGAATGGCCTTCAGTTCCATCCAGGTTGTTACAAAAGGTATTAGTTTACCCTTTTTTTATGGCTGAGTATACTCCATAATATACATATATCACATTTAATTAATCCACACATGTATTAAGGGGCACTTGGGTTGATTCCACATTTTTGCAATTTTGAATTGTACTGCAATAAATATTAAGGTATACATGTCTTTTTTTTTTTTTTTTCCTTTGGGTAAATATCCAGCAATGGGATTGCTGGATCAAACGGTAGGTCAACTTTTAGTTCTTTGAGGTTGTGCTCTAGACTCTTAGTAGAAAATAAAACCTTAAGCTCTGCCTTTTAACCGTAAGTACAATTTGGAATAATAATCTTTATGGAGTACTATCTAAAAATAAGCAGTTCATCATTTTCTCTAGATATTCTAATTTTTTTCCTTGAAACAGGATACACAATCACAGAGCTGCCCACCTGAACTATAGTGTTCTGAATTTCATGGAATTTCTTTTAGGCACCTGTGCTTCAGCTTTATCCTTGGTTTTGGATTAAGAACCAAAGAAAAAGAAAAACAAAGAAAATTATTATACTATTATAGCAGTGGCCACTACATCACCCAATATTCCCTTTATGGGGATTTAGGAAATAAATCCTCCTTAGTGTCACATACTTTGTGAATCTTATTATTGATTTTGTATAAACTGCTTGATGGAGCTTGAAAAAAATAAGAGTTAAATTTCCACCAATTC